AGCCTGGAACTAGTTCATGAAGTTTCCTTTTATAGCTCCAATTGTTTGCACAAACCCAGAGGAGCCGCCTGGCCGGAGAAACTGCCCAGTGGAGCATGTGGAGCCTGGCCCCAGCCAGGCTGGAACATCTCCCCGAATTCTCCAGGGCCTGCAAAGTACAGCTGCACTCTGCAGATAATAAATGGAGAGCTCTGGGAGGCCTGAGCAAGCAGAATTGCTCATTTTTAATTCACAGCCTTGGAAATCAGGGGGGTTTTGAGGTGAAATTGTGCCCAGAGTTCCTTTGTCCCATGGTCCCAGGGAGCCTTAGCACTGCCCCCGCATTACAACGCCGGTTTGTCTGAGGTACCTGCACGTAAAGAACGTCCAGAGTCACCTCTGACTTCACTGCAAGGCGCATAACCCCCTTTCTGGGGTTTTATTGCCAGGTAAGGGACTCTGCTCAGTCCTTCCTGACAGTCCACGTCCCTCTCTACGTGTCCTACATCTGTGTGACGGCACCGAGGGGCTGGGCTTCCCCGGAGCACCGCAGCGAGATGGAGTTCTCCTTCTTCTACGACACCGTTCTCTGGAGGACAGGTGAGCCTGAGGCGCTCCAAGGGCTATGGAAGAAGTGGTTCCTTCATGTTTTCCCCTTAGCTCCTGCACTGCCCCCAGAGTCCTGAGGGAGCGGGGAACTCGGAATATTGCCTTCCTCTGTGCTTGCGGGGGGCTTAGGCAGCCGGTGGCTGACGGAGGGAGCGTGCAGCTGGCTCACTGGAGGCTGATCCCAGCTGAACCCTGCCTTGTGGAGGTGTCCCAAGCGCTTCTGGGGCTGGCAGAGCCCAGCAGAGGAGAGCGAGGGTGCTGTGTGGGCTCCCAGTGGCGCTTGCTGTCCTTGCAGGGATCCAGACGGACAGCGCGCTCTCGGCCTGCCTGCAGATAATCCCCATCTACATCCGCGAGGACGGCCGGCCGGTCATCGAGTTCAAGACGCAGGCCAAGTTCAGAGGTGAGGGCAGCGATCCTGGCAGGGACACAGAGCAGGGTCACACAGAGCTCTGCTCTGACGGCACAGGCAGCGGAACGAGTCCCCGTCCCCGCCGGGAGCCCCTCTGCCCCTGCGAGGTGGGGCCTCTCCGCGCTCTGCCTCCCGTCACCTCCTTGTCCTCCCCCAGGGCTGTTTGTCATGGAGCACCACAGCCTGCCAGGTGTCAGGTCCTCTTTGGTAACTCCAGAGCACCTGGGAGGCATCGAATTTGCCCTGCAGCTGCTGTGGAGCGCTCAGACTTTTGATTCTCCCTACCAGCTCTGGAGAGCAACCAGCTCCTACAACAGGTGAGGGCTGGGGGTGCAGTCCCCTCCAGCAGCTTCCCCCACAGCACCACGTTCTCCCTGGCACCCCTCCAGCAGCCACGCCAGCAATAGCACGGAATGCTCAGGAGCTTGGTCAGAGCTGGAGCACCGTTGTACTGCGAGAAAAATCAGCTCAGCCTCTTGGAAAGGAATGTTTCCAGCAGTGCGGCCTGTGGATAGACTGATCCCAGAGTCACACTTGTCCCTCGGGGACTGCTGGATGACATTGCTGGGGCAAGGGAGAGGTGCTGCCCTGGGTGAAGGGCTTTGAGCTGTGCTTGGTGGCTGCAGGGTCTTCTGTCTGTTCCCAGGAAGGATTACTCTGGAGGATACACCATCTTCCTGATGCCCTGCACGGTGCAGCCCACGCCGCCGTGGGCAGAGCCTGGAGCCAAGCCCCTGCCCTGCCCTGCCCGGCTCACGCTCCCGAGCGGTAAGAGGGCAGGAGGGCAGGCTCGGCCCCTTTGGGGTGCACACCCGTCCAAACCTCATCTCCCCTTTGTTTCCTTCCTTGTCCCAGTTGCAGGTTTTTGATCCCGATCGCCTTCCGGCAGACAAACCGCCCACTTCCAGTTGTTTACTCCCTGAACACAGAGTTTCAGCTCTGTAACAACGAGAAGGTTTTTCTAATGGACCCCACCAAATCGGAAAGGTCTCTGGCAGAAATGGATTACAAGGGGGCTTTATCCAAGGGTAGGATT